TGTGCCCGCCGGCAGCAGACGCCACCCAGCACACGGCGAGGCACGCGGTGGCTACGCACGCACCTCCCTCTGCTCCTTCCACCCCCTCCCCCTCCCGACTTCGGTGTCCGGCGCCAGACCACAGATGTGAGTCTCCACCCCACGCAAGCGCATGGCTTCCAGCGACGGGTGGCATGAATAAGTCACCGCGCAGCAGGGAGCCACCAGCTGGCAGACGACGCTAACGCGCTGCGGATGGCTGGCGGGCGCCCTCACTCCCGCGTCTGCGGGACGGAGCAGGCGGGGTGTTCTCTCCACCTTGGTCCCACACACTTTAAAAACGCTCGCTGCTCGGAGAACGCACGGCCGCCGCCGGGGCCCCCCCGTGGAGCTGCGCGTGACACCAACGTCTACTTTACACGAACCCACGCCTGGGCGGTGCTCGCCCGCGGTCGGCACTGCGCCCCGTCTCCCCCACGGCTATGCGCGACCCCGCCGGGCCAGCTCCTCTCCCCAGCTCGGTCTGCAGCCCGCTGCCGAGCGCCGGGGACACAGGGGCCAGGACTGTGAGCCCTGTGACACTGTCACGCGGCCGAACAAGAGCGTCAGGCTCCCTCCTGACGCTGCGTCTGACCCCACTGCACTCCGGCCGGGCTGGCGGGACTTCTAGTGACACAGGCCAACGGCACAGCGCTCGCGAGGGGACCCGCGTCTCTGGGGCGCGCTCGCGGGGAAGGGGTCCCCTGAGCCACCGGGCTGCACGGCGAGGACCACGTGGCTGGGACGGACTCCGCCCTTTCTGGGCTGTGACCGTCTCTTGACCGCAGGCTGTGCTGGGGACTGCGGCGCCCACACGGGGTCTGGAGCGCACTGTCCGGACAGGAAGGGGCTTCGTCTCTGCGGGGTCAGGTTCTTGGGGTCGCGGTGCTGGTCTGCTTCCAGGTCAGGCGAGCCCTGCTGGACCAGCGCCTTCCTTCGAGCCTCACTGTTCCAATCCTCCCGACGCAGCGGAGCTAGGCCACCGAGGAGCCGGGCGACAGCCCCTCATTCTCACCTGGCCGCAGGGCAGGTCACTCTTCAGAGGCAGGTGCCCAGCCCACTGGGATTCCAGCCTGCCTGGTCCAGGCTGCTTGCGGAGCAGGTAACGTGACGTGGGCGTGGCCTTGACGACAGCAGCCGGCGGCAGTGACTGGCCTCAGCAGGGGACACGTGGGGGGCCACGCCAGGCACGTTTTCATTCCCGGGGCCCGATGGGCCTCCAGCCCCAACGCGCCTGTCCCTCGTCCTCCAGGGCCTGCGTTTGAGCACCTCACTCTTCCCCATCACCTCCCCCCAGCACGGCATTCCCTCGGGGCCAGGACGCCTGGGGAGAGGGGCGCCCAGGCGGGAACCGAGCGAGACCGGCTGAGCTCACACCGCACGCACAGCACCCGCCCCGGCAGCTGCGTCCGCCGACCGCGACGTGCCAGAGGCTCCGCATCACGTTTGAAGCGAGAGCAGCGGAGCGAGTAATGCCCTGCCGGACTCAACAGACGCCTTCCCCGCATAATTAATTCAAACAAATGACACCGAGAAAGAAGTCCAAGTTTCCTGCCGGAAGAAATTAAAACTTCCCCACCAATCAGTTTTCCTTCCAAAAATAAACTCTGCTCGTGTCGGGAAATTAAAACTTCCACACCAGTTTTCCTTCCAAAAATAAACTCTGCTCGTGTCGAGCATGTCTGAACTCTGCTGCTTCCTCGGGTGACAAATTACACGCGCAGTGTGACAATGGGCACAGAAACGCTGGGACCAGCTGGTACAGAAAACGACCCGTCGTGAACACAAATCAGGGCGCGTTCTTGGGAGGGGCTGGCCAGCCTCGGCTGTGCGTGAGTCGGCCACACTCCATCGCTAGCGTCGAGAGACGGCGCCATCGTAAGGGTCTCAGTCTTTTCAAAAGTGCGATTCTATTGCTAAGACAAACGAAGGCATTGTAATCACGTACGAGGCTCCTGAGAAGCTGTGGCCGTGACCGAGCTTCTCCCCTCCAGGACGGCCCGACCCCTGCGTGGACGGAGAGACCTCAGGTGGAACTCTGGGTGCGGAGCTGTCTGCGTCAGTAGGTCTGAAGATAAGATGGGCCACCAGGGAAGCCACGACAGTAGGGCTCACGCAGTCACGGCGCCTTTGGCTACGGCCTCTGGTCCGTGCTCGATAACTTCCCAGCGGCTGGAGCACCGTGAGTGCTCCTGCCCCGAGCCTGCCGTAGGAAATGGTGGCGACGGGGCACGGGGGCAGGGGTGTCGGCGGCGACACGTGCCCCCTCGGGGAGCACAGAGAGGGGCACAGCGACTGCTCCCAAATGACATTTCCCTCATTTAAGTAACTCCTGTCCTTGACCCCACCAAGCACTGTGACGGGGCGTGGGGACCGAAGCCAAGCCTACGAACAGGGGCCGTGAAGGGAGGTACCGCGGGCCGAGGACACGTGACGGCACAGGAGTCACCGGGTGCGGGGAGGCCTGACGGGAACAGGGACCCGTGGACACGAGGTGGCACCCAGGTCTCAGGGGATGTTCTGGGCATGAGGCGGGCAAGCCGGGCAGCCTGGCAGGGCTTCCTGTGTTCCGGGACCAGCTGGCGAGAGCCGCTGGATCCCACGCCGGCCGAGGCTGCTGGCCTGACCTTCGTGGAGCTGCGAGCTGGCCTCCCCCAGTCCCCCCCGCTCACACGGTCACAGCGAGGGGCCGCCCTGCCCCTGCGCACAGCGTGGGAAGCGCTCACATCTTGGTGAGGGGTCGTCCTGCCACTGGAAAGCAAGCAGACGCTTAACAGAGAGGGGAACCCTGCCCAGGGAACCCCGCCCGCCCGTCACTGTCTCCCAAACACCAGCCGGCTGGGATTCATCCGGTGAGCTGACCCCGCCCCCAGGCGCTCAACCTCAGCTTGACTGACACTGGGGCTGGACAGCGCCTCCTGGGGCAGTGGGCGTGGCTGCCTGGGCAGTGGTGAGCAGTGTCCCCAGCCTCTGTCCACCAGACACAAACAGCATGCCCACCCTGCTTGTGACCAGAACGTCTCCAGACACTGCCAGTGTCCCCAGGGGGTGCGAAGTCACCCCACCGATCATGACCGCCCTAGGCGAATGCCACGTATTCTGGCCACAGTCCTGCTGTGTGGTCAAGACCGGATGTCCTCTCTTCTGCTCATTACTCGGTGGGGACGGCTGAGCCACCCACGTAGCTGGACGGGGAGGCCCTGGCCAGCCCTGGCCGGCTCCGGCTGGGCTGCTGCTCCAAGCGAAACACTCCGCTTCCACCGAGGATTCGGATCCTGGGTTTGAAGCTGCTCAGGTGGCCGCGGAGAGAGAGAGTGCCAGAGTCTAGTGACCGAGCCTGAGACCCAGCTGACAGGCCAAGCGGGTGAGCGCCGCATGCGGCCTCCCGCCTGACAGAGAGCGCGCACTTAATTCTTCTGTTTCTCTATCAGGAGGAGACACTGCTACTCACGAGCAGTCGGCTGTGACAGAAAGAGCCAGAAACGGTTTCACTGCCTCTGGCCTGGAACACGCCGGAGACGGAACTGAACGTGGAGTGCGTGACAGCGGTTCTGGGGCACACTGGACTCTGCCACGAGCCCCTGCCGGCTCCTGCCTGACGGGAGCCCAGACAAGGTGTCACCTGAGATCGATGAGCTGACCGTGGCCATTCCACGCAGCGGCCTAAACGCTCTGTCAGACGGCTGTGGGTCACGCGGGGAGGCCGCGGCTCCTTCCTGAGCTTGGTTCATTTAAGCATCTTCCCGACGCTACATCACGACCCGTGTTCCTCAGAGGATGAGGGACGGCTGTCAGGTCCGCCGGCTCGGCCGTCCAGGGAACTTCGAGGCTTGTCAGAGAGAAAGGACGGCCGGCTCTTCCCTGCACCGTCGGCTGTGGCCGCAGCGCCTGCTGTCGTGCCCGAGAGGACTGTCGCCAGCATCCCCCAGCAACTCCCATCACAGAGGTCTTTGGGGACAGTTATGAGCCATTGAACGAAGCTGGATTCGGATGGTGTCTTTATGAGCGCTGGGCATGGGAACACTCGGGGGACATTCCGGCACCTTTGTCAAAGGGACTTATTTTCAGAGGCGCCAACGGCGGCTGACCAGGCTCACAGTAGCCGGCTGTCCTCCAGTGGGGCATCGTGGTCACCGAGCTGGCTGAACAATAGCCCGTTTCTTTGCACTCACTGGACACAGCGATTGTGGCTGGTCACCCGATAAACTGAGGAAATTTTGTGGGAAATGACCTATGCAGAGAAAACCCCAAGAAGCCCCTGTGTGCTGTGAAGCGTTGCAGAGTGTAAATGACATTGTCTCGCCTGAGGCAGAAGGCAGGCCGACCCCCCTCCTCCCGCCTGAACACGGACGGTGCCTGGTCGGGCACAGGCTGGGCATCCTCCCAAGCTCCCCCGCGCGACAGCCCAGAGCCCACAGGGGCATCGCTGCGTGCCCGGGCTGCGGGGGGAGGGGGGGAGCGCTTCGTGACACCAGCTGCTTTTCCTCACTCGGAGGCCTGTGGCGGGGCCACCCTCGCTGCACTGTCCACCCTGTACTCCCGGGGAATTTTAATTAAAATCTGTGAATTTCCCCCTGTTGAGGTCCCCCTGGTGCTCCAGACACGGGCATCCCATCCGCAGAACTCACAGACTAGCTGTTCCTCTGTTTAGTACAGGCTTTCTTGTCTGAGGAATTCAAGATAAATCTGTCAAAAAGCCGTAAATTCCTGCCCCAAACTAAATCGAGCGGCCAGAGCGTCTTTGCCTGGTGCCTTTTCTGACAGGGCGAGGCACTGTCCTCGTGCCTGATGGCCACGCGTGCCATCCCGCAAACCCGCTTCCGCGCACGGCAGGGCCGTGGGTGCACTAGGCCGGGGTGGCGGGGGGGTGTCCCACCAGTCACCACGTGGAGCAGAACATTCTGAGTGTAGGAGGATCGTGAAGGGAATCGCTCCCCGTACACTGCCCCCTGCTGGCCAGCTCCCACCGCTGCCCACATGACCTCGAAGACAGCGCAGGGCCATGTGCTGCAGCCTTGTCTGGGATAGGCCAGCACGGGTCTGGTCACCGCGGCACCCAGAGCCCCTGGCTCAGCTGAGTGGGGAGCTGGCGAAGTTACAGCGTCTTGTGCAGAGAGCATAACACCTCCGCCTCCTCCATAAATCAGACTGTGACATCAGCGGGAGACCTGAGCTGCGGTCTACAGTGTGCCAAACAGAAAACTCAAGAAACTGACACTCCGCATGCCAGATTGAACACGCAACCCAGCCGCAGTGACCGAGCAGGGCGCCCAGCTGCAGTGACCGAGCAGAGCACCCAGCAGCAGTGACCGAGCAGAGCAACCAGCAGCAGTGACCGAGCAGAGCACCCAGCAGCAGTGACCGAGCAGAGCGCCACAGGCTGGTTACAGGGTGCCCTCACCGCTCACTTTCTGGGTGACAGCAAAACTCCCAGCTCTCTGCCTGAGTGTTCGCAGATGCGTCCAGGCTGGGCTTTCGTGTGCTTCTCCCTGGTTTGATTTTTGGTGACTGAATCTCCCCCTCCTTCCCTCCCTCCGCCAACTGCTGTGGCTGTCCCCAACTCCAATTTCCAAAATACGGAGTAGCCAAAGCCACCGCCCAGTGTGCCTTACCTCGGCTGCTGAAGGCGGCGACCTAACATCCAAGCACCCTGGCCTCCGCCACGTCCCAGCCTGGGAAGCGGCTCAGGGCGCCCGCCGGGGTCAGGGGGGTTGGGGCGCCCAGGGCGCGCCCCCTTACCTTCACCGCGTACTCCGCGTCGGTGGCTTTGTGCACGCAGCGCTTGCACACGGAGTAGGAGCCCACGCCGAGGTCCTCCTTGACCTCGTAGCCGTCGGTGAAGTGGACGTTGTTGCCGTGGAGCTGCTGCGGGCAGACGGGGCGGGGGGCGGGTCAGCGCTCTCAGGCGCATGCGCACACGGTGTGGGCGCCGACGCGCCACTGGGGACACCGAGGCCGGGAGCAGATGGGGTCCCCTGATAAAGGTCCCAGAGCTCGTGGGGATGGCTCCCGATCTAACCAGCGCCCCAGACTGCTCGGGCCCTGACAGTCTCTGGACACCCCGGGCACTGTGTGGGCTGACCGGTCACGTGTCCCCCAAACGTGACAGCAGAATCTGGAAGTAAAGGGGCGGGGCCTGTAAGTCCAGGGCCTGTAGCTCTGAGCCTTGTGTCCAGAGCACGTCCCTGGATGTCAACATCTGATTGGAAATGTGACCCCATGATGTCCCGATCACAGCCTGCTTCTGCCCGAGTACACCACCCTCCACCCTACCTGCTCAGAGTGCAGACAGAAAGCCACTGAGAATAGCATACACCATCACAGCAGATGTCAGCTTTAGACACGCTGTGTTTTTCCAAAAGGCCTTGGGGACAGAAATACGCAAAACCAAAGCCAGCCAATTTACCTTGCCTCGGCTTTTAAATAAAATTTATCGTAACTTCTTAGAGTTCTCTATGTCTGCTTGTATATACATAAGCTGGAAAACTTATAAAAACGTGCCCTTCACTGCCCTCCTAACGGAACATTTCACGACAGGGAAGTGGCACTGACTTGACACACAGCAAAGACGCCGCGTGTGACAGCCGTGGCCCGGCCACAGCCCGCCTCGGACCTTTGCCAGGGATCACCCCTTCTCTGGGATGAGTGTGAGGAGGGGGAGGGCCACCCCGCACCCCGGGGGCCAGAGGAGCAGGCACGTGACACCGGGGCTGGGGTGACGGGGCCGGCACAGCAGGTACCTGCACGACGGGGTGGACGGGGGCGCTGGGCGCCTCCTGCTGCGAGGCCTCCTGGGCCAGGCTGGAGGCCACAAAACTGAATCCTCGGAACAGGTGATGAGCGTTGGCGCTGGGGGGGACGCCAGGCGAGTCTGCAGGTAACAAGGGCGACGTCAGTCTTTCGGGGGGAGCCGGGGGGTGCGGCCCCACCAGGTGTGCGGTGTGCGTGGTGTGGTGGTGTGTGCACATGCGCAGTGTGTGGTGTACAGGTGTGTGTGTGTGGTGAGGTGTGTGAGGTGTGTGAGGTGCGTGTGCTGGAGGAGATCCCACGCAGGTCTAGGAACGCAGAACCGCAGGAAGCTGCACTGTATTTGGGCCAGTGCCAGTGGCTGGGTTTCTATGCGGCGAGAGCGCCCAGAACGAGAGCTCCCGGAACCTCGCTGGCATCACTTATGCGTCCTCTTCACCACGAGCCTGCGCCCCCGCCACT